TGGATTTATGTCAGCTTTCACTCATCATATAAGGCCTGCTGGTTGCCACTCTAACAACTATCCATCTACTATCTATCATATATTCCAAGAAGAAATCAGGTTGATTTATTTAAATATTCCTTCCTTCCAATTCACCACATTCAATTTTCACCAAATTTTAGTGCTTCTCTGCTCTATATTGTTCTCGAATATATTTAGATCCCCTCCTACTCTTTGGCATTGCCTTAGAAATGCCAAAACTTTGATAACTCTTAGCTGGAATTGCTGCATCATGAAAAAGATATTTTCCTCGTCTCCAGACTCTAATCTCTCCAGATTTGCCACGGACAGATGCACATACACATAGGCACTCTATTGTCAGAGCTTTTTTCTTAATGTGGAAGTTTCCTCCTAAAACTGTTGCCAATAACATAATGTCCAGACTCCTCAAGAAGACATTCAAGATCTTTAGGATCTGCCGCAGCTTCACGTCCAGCCTCTTCCTGCTTTGCTGAGAGCTCCCTGGATTTTGTGCATTTGCGCTGCCTGTGACATTCCTTCCGTTTGCGGTGGTCCTTCACTCTGAATTCACTCCTGCCCACTTAGGTTGCAGACCCCAGCCCAGCTGTTACTTTGGCGTAACTGTGTTAAATGTATCAGATCTAGTAAATCAACTGCCTCACCCATGATGATAACACTCATAGAGCGTTACACTTCACAGAGATTTTGATATCTAGAAGTGATTGAAAATAATAAACTATTGATAATTGTCTTTAAATAATTTACTAAAGGGCTAGAAAACAATGATAGTTTACATAAAATAGGTAATTAAAGATAGAACAGAGTACTACTGTTATAGGATTTGTTCAATGATTTTGAGCAAGCTATTGTTTCTGGTGGTGGAATATATTGGGTACCTCGACTAATATTACCACTAAAAGCAACTAAGCATGCAGGATAAAATATTTTGAAAAATTACCTTATATGCAAGGTTGAACAATATGAATAAGTGGAAAAAAGACATTAAATTGCTACCTCATATCATACATATAAATCAATCTAAGTAGAATATATATCTAAATGTGAAAAACACAACTTTAAAACTTTAACGAGACATATTGAAGGATATTTCTGTACTCAGGGTGGAAAATGAATTTTTAAATCCAAACAGCATGGAGCAAAAGGCAAGTTATGACATATTTGAGTACATTAGAATTACAACCTTCTATACATCAAAAGATACTCTTAAATAGCGAGAATGATGAGGAATGCCTAGGGAGAGGTTTGCCTAGTTATATAATTCAAAATTTAGTACTCAGAAGTTGTAAAAAACCAAATTTAGAAATAAGAAAGAGATAATTAACCCAAAAGCACAATTGACAAAAAAAATGTGTACTGGGAATTTAAAGAAGAAACATAACAGTGAATAATAAATACACACACACATACACACACACACATACACATACACACACATATACACACACATACACACACATACACACACACATACACATACACACACATACACACACACATACACATACACACACATACACACACATACACATACACACACATACACACACATACACATACACACACATACACACACACACATACACACACACACACAGGTACTTAATCAGAGAGTTCAAATTACATTGGCAAGCATTGAAAAGTCCCATAATATCACATGCTAGCAGGAATATAAAACAAAACTCTATTCTGTTGAAGATAAATGGGAAGAAAGTTAACTAGAATGACCATAATAGAGAGAATTTAACAGAACATATCTTAGATGAGCTGCATGTAACCATTGACTCAGAAATTTAAATTCTTATAATATACACAAGAGAAACTCTTGCACATGTACATAAAGAGATATGTACTAGAGTATTCATGGAAAATTTTTTATCTATACTGCTATGTGTACTATACAACACTAAAAGTTAATGAACTGGACCAATTTGCGTTATCTGCAAAATGTAGTATTGAGTTAAAACTAATATGCAGGAGGAAATATCCAATGATATATCATTTATACAAAAAGTAGGGCAAAAAATACCATATATTATTTAGAATGAAGTTAAATTTAACTTGGAGATATGCCTGGGAATGCACCAAAAATAAATTTTTAGGATTGTGGTTTTGTCTGAATAGGAAGGGGTTAACCATTAATGGAGGCCTACATAATTTTTTATAATGCTTCTTGTGAAGCTTAGTTAATAGGGGAATCACATTTTGTTATATCTTTTTTCTATATTAGAAGTGTTTAATAATAAAATTCAAAGCATGTGTATTTTGTTGAGGCAAAGAAAATGAAGATCTGGTTCATTGAATACTAACAGTAAAATATGGTTTGGGAGATATTACACATCATTTTTGTTTATTTTTTTAATGTTGATTCCATTTTTATAACTTAATTGAAATATGTCCAAAATATTTTCCTTTTTATTTACTCTTCTAAAGGACACTTTGCTGATGTGCTCTTTGCAAACCAATTTGCTGAAAGAATCAATTTAATTTATTTCTGTTTATGTTTCTTCAGTGATGACTTAGCCTCACGTGAAGGACTTGTAGAGATCCAAGGAGAATGTCAGTCATAGGCTGATTAGCATGAACTTCTTCGAGTGATGCATAATCTTTGACAACCATAGTAGAAACTTATTTTTCCAAGAGTATCCAGAGGACAGGCGCCTATAGATGTCATCTGTCACCTCTAATTTATTAACTGACTTATAACCTGCTTTCATAGGCATTCATTATATTCTTTAACCTTGACCTTCCTTTTTACAGCTTGCTATAGTTATTTCAATAAAATGCCCTTCCCACCCCTCACTCCAAGTACAAAAAAATCAATAAAAAATATTTTTAGTGTCAAATGGAAAACTTAAGAAGTGCTGAGAACATTGGCACATTAGAGAACAGAGGTCACAAGGGGCCCATTTCTGTAAATATTTTCAATACTATTGCTTATGCCCATCGCTTTCTTCTGGATATTTGAAAATCCCATGATTTTTAGCAAAATAAACGCGTTTTTATGGTACTCAAGTCTGCCTTGATTGCCTTGAGAACCTGATTACAGCGCAATAGCACGGAATGCTCATTTTAATTGGGCATTTAGTAAAGTTACAGAAATGGTTCCTGGCATCTGGGCTCCATCGCAGTGCTTGGTAAACTTTTTCATAAAAGATGAGGAAGCAAACATTATTGCAGGCCAAGGTGTGAAATAGATGTTATAATGTTGGTCCCCATATCATCTTTATAACGTAAGCATTTGCAAATATCAAAGTCATTCTTATATGCCGTAAAACATACAAACAACATTAACAACAACAACAAAAACAAAGACGGTGGGCCAATTTGGGTATCTTCAGAAGATATGTGGTACCTGGGGGACATTTCAAGTTCATTTATCTAGTTTTGATTAAGATTAACTGCATATAGGAAGTTTCAGGAGGACCCACTGTGCAGCCACACAGAGTGGGACATGGTTTCTTGGCTCTTTCCCCAACTCCTCCTGGTGTCCTCAGGCCACCCTGCCATAGCCTCAGTGTCTTCACCGCCCCCAGTGCTTCTGTCTCAGACTCCTGCTTATTCTTGCTTCTTTCTCAGCTTCAGGCAAAAATCATAAAAGCAGTATGGAAGTGACTCATATTTGGAAACACTAAAATAATAACATATGACTAAATTGAGCGTAGAATGTTAAAAACACGAAATGGTGAAATCAAATGGCAATTAGTGATGACACTCACCTGAGCTGTGCTAACTGCTGCTGCCGCCCACCAAATGTATAATGAGATGCTCAGAAAATAATCAACCCAAATTACTGTGTTTATTGATCTCAGGTTAGACATTAAAACAGATTTCAGGATAATATGTTTCCCTTGATACATTCACAAATCTTTGAGGATTTTTAAAGACTTATTGGGAAATGAAATAAATGATTGTATTAGTTAGATACGCGATTTCTCTATTTCTACAAAACATGCCTTTGAGTTCTTTGTTATACCTGAGTCTGGAAGAGCATTTAAGAAGTCTCTACTCTTAAAATGTGCAAAAAAAAAAAAAAAATGTAGCATATTTCTCTCATTTGTGCATTAAGATTTCAGAGATGTGAGTTAGACATTGCACAGCATTTTATAAATTATTGCTCAGGAAAAGTCATATTTAAAGTCTCCAGTAAAACATTGAGTGTTCTACAAACAAGAATGAAGATATTTAAAAAAATGGACAGACAATTCAATAATATGAAATTCTAATAATCAGTGTGTAGGAAAAATGTTTGCTTTTATTCACGGAAAAATAAATTCAAATAGATTGGTTTATTCTCACAGTGCTACAAAGAACTCCTGAGACTGGGCAATTTATAAAGAAAAGAAATTTCTTTGACTGACAGTTTCTCAGGCTAAACCAGAAGGGTGGCTGAAAGGCCTCAGGGAATTTGTAATTACAGTGGAAGGCAAAAGGAAAGTCAGCAGGTCTCACATGGCAAGAGCAGGAGGAAGAGAGAGAGAGAAGTGGAAGGTGCTACCCACTTTCAAATAACCAGATCTCCTGAGATCTCTATCACATCATGAGACAGCACTAAAGGGATGGTGGTAAACCATTAGAAATGACCCCCATGACCCAATCACCTCCCCCCAGGCCCCGCCTCCAACACTGGGGATCACAATTCAAGGTGAGATTTGGGTGGGGACACAGCCAAACTATATCATCAAACTAAAACACCAATGGGATGTGTCTTCCCAATACTGACAAGTGTTGACACAATGAATAGCATCTTGGGTTGGCAAATATATGGAAATCTAAGTACTCTCATTAATTTATTGATATATAATCACTTAAATTTTTGAAAAGTTAATTTGTTGCTCTTTATTTTTAAAAGTACTTAAATATGCTTTTATCATGTAGCATTCCTTTGATAATAAGTGAGGAAAAAAATAATTCAAATTGGGTGAACTCCTAAAGGAAATTCATTGGCTCATGGGCTGAAAAGTGATGGGTTTTGGGGTTACCTTGATCTAGGATTCAAATAATGCCAATAGTGATCAATTAATCTCTCTCTGTGTGTCCTCTAATCTTCACCTTTGATTTTGATTGAATTCCCAAAATGAGGTCACACCTCTGGAGCTTACATTCTGGAACTTTCATTATGTGTAAGAGTTCCAGCATCCAGTCTCAGAAATCTCAATAAAAGTCTCATTAGATCTCATAACTCCTATCAGTTCCCATATTAATGTTTTAACTACTCTCTGTAACTATGATAATAATATCAGATAAGAGTGGTCTGAATAATGGCAGCTTGAATCTGAGCAGAATCAGCCCCACTAAAACCACAGGAACTCTGCAGCAAATGGTTCCCAAGAAGGAAACTAAGGTATGGTTATCAAAAGGTTGAACAATGGTTTTCTAAAAAAATGAATATCTCTATACTCCCTTCTTATGTTACAACCACATTTTAAGATTCTATTTCACCATGTTTAAGTACCTATGCTTAGATATAAATTGTTTATTGCAATTTGTTCTAAATATTTAAAAAGCTATAGCAATATATAGTTAACAACATTTTGGTACATAAATTTTAGGAACTAAAATATAGTCATTTAATAAAATACTAAAGTCTAAGATTTACTGGTAAATGAATGAAAAAAAAATACAATACTGAGTTTTGTGAATAGTGACATGTTTTTTCCTAACAAATAAGAAAATATATAAAGCCATTATGTAGGTATGAATATTCATATAATATCATGAATGAAGGAAAAACTCTTGATAAATGCATATCACAGGGAGGAGATGAGATAAAATATACCCTAGATCTGCCTTTTGATTTATTTAGGATTTATTTGACAAGTGACAGAGAACCTATTTCAAACTGGTTAAATCCCAAAAGGAAATGTGTGAATCCGAAGTGTAGAGGATTTTAGGTGCAGCCTTATCCAAATATAAATGTCTGCAGGGAACAATTTGTATCTTTCCTTCTCTGTGATGTACCATCATTTATACTGACTGTATTTTAAGAGATGTAACAATTCAAGTATTCACCTTACTGAGGCTTTACATCTTGTAAATGAAACTGAAAGAAGCCTATTATTTTTAATTTACATACCTCTAAAAAAGATAGACAATTACTTCATTGAGCAAATATTTTTTTAAATGATATGAATAATTTCAAATATATAAATAAAATAAAATAAATGAATTAGCCAGGCAATTAGTGAGTACCAAATCCAGAGTGTCTATCCAAACAGAGGTTAGGTACAAACTTAAAAGAAGTCCAAATAGAGTTAACTGAGGAAAACCAAAGAAATTAGCACTAGGGAGTCATGGCAGCCAGTAGCAGGATTTCATCCAGGAGCACTTAGGTCCTGTGGAAGAAAATATAATCTGTGAGTCCAAAGAGCGACACTTTCTTTCTTTCTCTTTCCTTTATTTCTTCTGAAGAACAACAGGACACATGTGCAGAAAGTGCAGGTTTGTTACATAGGTAGACATACATGTGCCATGGTGGTTTGCTGCGTTACATAGGTGGACATACATGTGCCATGGTGGTTTGCTGCATTACATAGGTATATATACATGTGCCATGGTGGTTTGCTGCATTACATAGGTATACATACATGTGCCATGGTGGTTTGCTGCATTACATAGGTATACATACATGTGCCATGGTGGTTTGCTGCAGCTATGGACTCATTCCCTTAGCTCTCTCCCCCTACCATCCACCCCACAACAGGCCCTGATGTGTGTTGTTTCCCTCCCTGTGTCTGTGTGTTCTCAGTGTTCAGCTATCACTTATGAGTGAGAACATGTGATGTTTGGTTTTCTATTCCTGTGTTAGTTTGCTGAGCTAATGGCTTCCAGCTTCATCCATGTCCCTGCCAGGGACATAATCTCATTCCTATCATGGCTGCATAGTATTCCATAGTGTATGTGTAGCACATTTTCTTTATCCAGTCTATCATTGATCTGCATTTGGGTTGGTTCGATGTCTTTGCTATTGTAAATACTGTCGCAATAAACATAGATGTGGATGTGTCTTTATAGTAGAAGGATTTATATTCCTTTGAGTATACATCCAGTAATGGGATAGCTGGGTCAAATGATATTTCTGGTTCTAGAACCTTGAGAAATCGCCACACTGTCTTCTACAATGGCTGGACTAATTTACAATCCCACGAACAGTGCACAAGCATTTCTATTTCTCCACAGCCTCGCCAGCATCTATTGTTTCCTGACTTTTTAATAATCATCATTCTAACTGGTGTGAGATGGTATCTCATTGCGGTTTTCCTTTGCATTTTTCTGATGATCAGTGACGTTGAGCTTTCTTTTTCATATTTGTTGGACATGTGAATGTCTTCTTTTGAGAGGTGTTTGCTTATATCCTTTGCCCACTTTTTAATGGAGCTATTTGTTTTTTTCTTGTAAATTTGCTTAAGTTCCTTGTAGATTCTGGATATTAAACTTTTTTCAGATGGGTAGATTGCAAAATTTTTCTCTCATTCTGTAGGTTTATCTGTTCACTCTGATGATTGTTTCTTTTGCTGTGCAGAAGCTCTTTAGTTTAATTAGATCCCATTTATCTATTTTGGGTTTTTTTTGCAATTACTTTTGGTGTTTTAGTTATGAAGACTTTTCCCATGCTTATGTCCTGAATAGTATTGCCTTGGTTTTCTTCTAAGGGTTTTAAGGTTTTGGGTTTTGCATGTAAGTCTTTAATTGAACTTTAGTTAATTTTTGTGTAAGGTGTAAAGAAGGGGTTCAGTTTCTGTTTTCTGCATATGGCTAGCCAGTTTCTCAGCACCATTGACTGAATAGCAGATCCTTTTCCTATTGCTCATTTTTGTCGGGTTTGTCAAAGATTAGATGGCTGGAGATTTGTGGTGTTATTTCTGAGGTCTCTGTTCACTCCATTGGACTATATGTCTGTTTTGGTACCAGTATCATGCTGTTTTGGTTACTGTAGGCTTGTAGTATAGTTTGAAGTCAGGTAGCACGATACCTCCAGCTTTGTTCTTTTTGCTTAAGATTGTCTTGGCTGTACGGGGTCATCTTTGATTCCACATGAAATGTAAAATAGTTTTTTCTAATTCTGTGAAGAATGTCAATGGTAGTTTATTTCCTTCTCTTGATGATTGCCTTGGTCAGAATTTTCAATTACTATGTTAAATAGGAGTGATGAGAGAGGGCATCCTTGTCTTGCACTGGTTTTCAAAGAGAATGCTTCCAGCTTTTTTCCATTCAATATGATATTGGCTGTGGGTTAGTCATAAATAGCTCTTTTGATTTATGTCCCATCAGTACCTAATTTATTGAGAATTTTTAACACAAAGGGATGTTGAATTTTATCAAAGGCCTTTTCTGCATCTATTGAGATAATCATGTGGTGTTTGTCTTTGGTTTTGTTTATGTGATGGATTACATTTACTGATTTGCATATGTTGATTCAGTCTTGCATCCCAGGGATGAAGCCAACTTGATTGTGGTAGATAAGTTTTTTGATGTGCTGCTAGATTCAGTTTGCCAGCACTTTATTATAAAGGCTTTCACATTAATGCTTATCAGGGATAATGGGCTAAAATTTTCTTTTTTTGTTGTGTCTCTTCCCAGTTTTGGTATCAGGATGATTCCATTTTCATGAAATGAGTTAGGGAGAAGGTCCCCCTTTTCAGCTGTTTGGAATAGTTTCAGAAGAAATGGTACCAGCTCCTCTTTGTATTTCTGGTAGTATTCTGATGTGACTCTGTTTCATCCTGGGCTTTTTTGTTGCTGTTGTTGGCAGGCTATTAATTACTGCCTCAATTTTAGAACTTTTTATTGGTCTATTCAGGGATTAAACCTCTTCCTGGTTTAGTCTTTGTAGAGTGTATGCATCCAGGAATTTATCCAGATCTTCTAGATTTTCTAGTTCATTTGCATAGAGATGTTTATAGTATTCTCTGCTGGTAGTTTGTATTTCTGTGGGGTTCATGGTGATATCCTCTTTATTATTTAAAAAAATTTTTTTCTTTTTATTATTTTTTATTGTGTCTATTTGATTCTTCTCTCTCTTCCTTATTAGTCCAACTAGTTTTCTATCTATTTTGCTAATTAAAAAGAAAAAAACCCAGCACCTTTATTCATTGAGTTTTTGGAGGGATTTTTGTGTCTCTATCTCCTTCAATTCTTCTCTGGTCTTAGTTATTTCTTGCTTTCTGCTAGCTTTTGGATTACTTTGCTCTTGTCTTTTTAGCTCTTTAAATTGTGATGTTAGGGTGTTGATTTGAGATCTTTCTAGCTTTCTGATGTGGGCATTTAGTGCTATAAATTTTTCTCTTAACACTGCTTTAGCTGTGTTCCAGAGATTTTGGTACATTTTCTCTTTGTTCTCATTGGTTTCAAAGAACTTCTTGATTTCTGCCTTAATTTCATTATTCACCCAGGAGTTATTCAGGAGCAGGCTGTTCAATTTCCATTAAATTTTCTATTTTTTTTTTAATGAGTTTCTTAATCCAGAGTTCTTATTTCATTGCACTGTGGTCTCAGGGACTGTTTTGATTTCAGTTCATTTGTATTTGCTGAGGAGTGTTCTGCTTCTGATTATGTGGTCAATACCATGTGGTACTGAGAGGAATATTATTCTGTTGCTTTGAAGTAGAGAGTTCTGTAGATGTCTACTAGTCTACCTGATCCAGAGCTGAGTTCAAGTTCTGAATATCCTTGGTAATTTTCTGTCTTGTTGATCTGTCTAATACTGACAGTAGGTTGTTAAAGTCTCCCACTATTATAATGTGGGAGTCTAGGTCTCTTTGTAGGTCTCTAAGAACTTGTTTTATAAATCTGGGTACTCTTCTATTGGGTGCATATATTTTTAGAATAGTTAACTCTTGTTGTTGAATTGTTCTGATTACTGCTATGTAATGCCTTTCTTTGTCTTTTTTGATCTCTGTTGGTTTAAAATCTGTTTTGTCAGAGACTAGGATTGCAACCCCTGCTTTCCTTTGCTTTCCATTTGCTTGGTAAAATTTTCTCCATCCCGTTATGTTGAACGTCCGTGTGTCTTGGAATATAAGATGGGTCTCCTGAATACAGCACACTGATTG